TTTTTTTTTTTTTTGCATAAATGTCTATTTTTTTAAAAAAAAAATTAAAATATTTTAATCTATCGTAAATAAAATGTAATACGTTAAAAATATTACATTTTTAAATTAGGGATAAATGTGAGATATTGAATGTTAGTGGAGACATTAGACTTTAAACAATTTTTATAAGTATGTAGAAATTTATTCATAACATACACGTTTTAAAAACGAAATCTAAAAACAAAAATCAAATAGAACCATATTTGCTAACCGTTTTATTTAATAAATTCAATATTCAAGATAATAGTGTAATATTTTAAAATTCGGGATTAGAATGATTTTTTTAATATAAATAAAATTATTTAAAATACTGCACACGTGGAATTTAAGAACAATGGAATAATTTACCCAATAAAATAGAAATGATTTTCCATTGTCACGCGCACCAACAATGTTCTAAGATACATTAGTGGTGGAGCCAAATTGTAAATACTACTAATAATAAATAATAATAAATTATTATTTTAAATTATGAAATAGCTTTTGAATAAGCTTTAATTACATTAGTTCCATTTTAATATTTAAAATTCAAAATTCTTCCAAAAAAAATTATTTTAGAGTTCATTCATATAGAAATTAACAATATATATATATATAATAATGAAAATGAAGATCACGAGTATATTAGTAGCTAAGAGACACTATCTCTGTTGGTACAAGAGACATTTTAGGAAAACTAAAAATAAAGTCATGCAAGTTTATGCTCAACGTGGAGGTTCAATGATGTATTTTGTTCGAGAGCTCTAAAAAATGAACCTTTAAAGAAGATATATAACCAGTTTTTGACGAGAACCATCCGTACTTCCTTTCAAAATTACTCTTAAATTCACATTGATTTATTGGTTGTTGCCGATTAAGAAGGTTCCTCGAGATTGAAGATGACATTTCTCAGTCGTTTTTTATATTTGACGATCTATCATTCGGGTTCTGATTCAGTACAAATATTTGAATTTTGGGAATATGTTCGAGGGCAAATTGTATTTTTATTATTCATTATTATTATCATCATCATTTTTTCCCTGAAAAAATGAAATTATGAAATGGGGTGGAAAATGGGGAAGCTCATGCACCACTCATTACACGTCAAAAACTAAGGTCCCACTAAACCCATCCAAAAGGGGTCCTTTGGAACAAAGTCAAATCCCAAACACTAATGCCCATGGATTGAAATCCCATAATTTTGATTTTTTTTTTTTCTTTTCAAACTTGTCAATTTAGAGGCAGTCATCGGTAGTGAACAATATCTATTAGCGGTGAGTTTAATTGTTACAAATGGTATCAGAGGCAGTCATCAACAGTGCGCCAATGAGTATGCTGACCCCAAGAAGATGGATTATGAGATGCTAACAATAATACGTAACATGCCAAAACAGATAATATCTACTAGTAATAAGTTTGAACTATGACCAAAGTTATATCGTAAGTGATTGAGCAGGGATGATGTTGGGAATGGATTGGTAAGTAAAAAAGGGGACAAAAAAAGAGAAAAAAAAACATGTAAATGGAGCTTTAAATGTAAGTGAATTATTATTTATATGATATGAATTATTTTATTTAATGTTATAGAAAGTATTTTTAAATGTGCTTATATATAATTTAGAAATAATTTTTTTCATTTACTTTATAATTATATTCATATTTTTAAATACAAAATTTCTATTTATATGTCAATGAATAATCAGATAATCTTATTATATTGTAAATAAAATATGTAAAAAAATAAAATAAAATAACAAAATATAGTTGATGTGAATATAAGGTAAATACTAAATTGTAAGCATTTTAATTTCTTTATTAATTTAAATAATTTTTTATTAAAGGTGTTTTTTTTTTCTAATATTATTTATATTTTAGTATAGCATTTGTTGACCCTCTTCAAATGGGCTTAAATTCAAGGCCCAAAAGTGGGCCCAAGTTTTCATAGGCGGCCTTGCTCGTTTTAATTATTTATAATATTTAGCATTTAATTTTTAAACAATTTTTAATGGTTAAAAATTAAGTTTACATATATTACTTTTTTTTTTATTATATATTTTCTTGTTTTTAAAATTTAAATTGTATTTTAAAACTAAATAAAATAGTTTTTTAACTAAGAATTTATATTATTTATTTAGAAAAGTTAAAAACCATGATTAATAAATAGTTAAAAAAAAATTTAATTTTTAAAATTCATAAAACTTATTCAACACAAAATTAAAAATTTAAAAACTCATAAAATATATTTTAAAATTTTTTAGCAACAGTAATTTAACATATTATATTTTTAAAATTTTAATTTTTGTTTTTATTTTTTTAATAATAAGGAAAATAGAAAGAGAGAGATTGGTGGGGAAGTAATAAGGTCCAGTTGGACAGGGTGAATTGTAAGACATGGCATCTAAACCCTTTGACTTAAAGTCCATCCTATTTGCCCCATTTTTTATTTTATTTTATTTATTTATTTATTTATTTGTCTCTCTTCCCTATTTTATACCCTAATTTTTCATTCCTCTTCTCCTTGTATTCCTATCTCCATACACTCCCTCCATATACTACTATGACTCGTAATAACGTCCTCATTAACATTGCCCTCTCTTCTCTCGTTCCTCTTTTTCTCGCTTTGCTCCTCGTCGTCATTCCTACCCCTCCTTTCCTTTCCGTCCTCGACGACTCCCTCAACTGCCACCACCACCACCACCATAAACCCTCGGCTGATGAAGAAGACCAAACGAGTATCGGTTCCATTTGTGACACCTTCCCAACCGCCCTTCTCCCACTAGAAACTGTCGACACTTCTGTTTTATGTGTTGACCTAAATGGATGCTGCAATTTTACAACTGTACAAGCAGCTGTCGACGCTGTGTTGAATATGAGCTCCAAACGAAGCTTAATATGGATCAACACTGGAATCTACTTGTAAACTCTTTATATAAATAATGCTTGTTGTAAATTACAAAAATACCCTTTGATTTTGTTTTTGTTTTATAACTACCCTTATTGATAAACAATAAGACAAGATTGACTATCAATATATTCAATGTGACGTTTTATTGTTTTTTTTAGTGAGAAGGTAATGGTTCCGAGATCGAAACCGAACGTGACATTTCAAGGACAAGGCTACAAAACCACAGCTATTGTTTGGAACGACACCGCCAATTCTTCACATGGCACATTTTACAGCGGCTCCGTCCAAGTCTTCTCTTCCAATTTTATTGCCAAGAATATAAGCTTCATGGTAATTTCTAATTAATTATAAATTATAATTTAATAGATTCTTCCTTTATGACATTTTTTTATTAAAAAAATGGGAAAGCAATATTTTTTTTTAATCTTCGATTATAAATAGATGATCATTCTCTAAATTAGTCGAAAGGGACTTTCATCATCCAACACCTCTCCCCGAGGCTCGACTCCTTTGGAGTCATAGTCATTTTTTACTGTCTTCGAGGAGGCTTGACTCATTTTCTTTTGGAGCTCTTTATTCGATATTTGAGGATTTACCAATCTATTGGCACGACTAAGTTTACGGCATGACTTTGATACTCTGTTAGACGAACACGACTCTCTACAATGGTATGATATTTTCTACTTTGAACATAAGCGGCTTTGTTTTGGACTTCTCCAAAAGGTCTCACACAAATAGAGTGTGTATTCTTTGATGATAGACTTTCATTATCAAAACAATATTAAATTAACCAATAAATTTTAATTCTAAAAAAGAAATTCCCAAACCCATAGAAAGGGAAATAAATAAACCCCAAATTCAGTACCAAAGATACTACCCGCAAAGTTAAGTAAACATTTTGGTGCCTTGGTAGAATGTGGCGCCAATTCCAGGGCCGGGCGTCATCGGAGCACAGGCGGTGGCGATTCGGATCGGCGGAGACCAGGCGGCGTTTTGGAACTGCGGATTCTTCGGCGCTCAAGACACTCTCCACGATGACCGCGGCCGCCATTACTTCAAGGATTGCTACATCCAAGGCTCCATCGATTTCATCTTCGGAAACGGAAGATCCTACTACGAGGTAAATCGGAGCCCTAGTTTTTTCGCCGATTTCGATTTGACGATAAATTTCTGAATCGCGATTATGAAAATCTTGCCACATTGTAGAGTTGCCAGATGATTTCGATGGCGAATCCAGTTCCGCAAGGATCGAAGTTCGTGAACGGAGCCGTGACGGCGCACGGCAGAGCCTCCGCAGACGAGAACTCTGGATTTGCTTTTGTTAATTGCAGCATCGGTGGAACCGGCAGAGTGTGGCTCGGTCGCGCGTGGCGGCCGTTCTCTCGCGTCGTCTTTGCTAACACCGTCATGACGGATATTATTGCGTCGGAGGGATGGAATGACTTTAATGACCCCGCAAGGGACCAGTACGTTTTTTTTTTCTTATTACGAAATTACCAACGTCTTATCCACTAAATTTATTAGTTTTAAATATCAATATTTATAGAAATATTAAAATATTGATAAAAAGCTTAATTTAGTCTTTATTATTAGTTTATGGTCGAAATTTAAAACCATAATTATTATTTAAGGAATTTTGATAATGGAAAAAAATTGAAATTTGCAGGACGATATTCTATGGAGAGTATAACTGCAGTGGAACAGGAGCCAACATGAGCGCAAGGGCTCCCTATGTTCAGAGGCTCAATGATACTCAAGCTTCCCCTTTCCTCAACCTCTCCTTCATCGACGCAGACCAATGGCTGCAACCCTATTAATTCTCTCCTTTTCTTTCATACATTCTCATTATTTTTTTATTAATAATAATTATTAATTATATTATAAATATGTAAAATTACTGTCTCCGTGATGTAAATAATAATGGACAAATACCAACAGAGAGAGTATTCATTCCCTAAATTAGTCGATGTGAGACTTTCATCATCCAGCACTTCATCTTGAACAAAATACGAGACATGGTTTCAATACCATGTTAAATGAACATAACTCTCTATAATGATATGTTATTGTCCACCTTAAGTATAAGCTCTCGTGGCTTTACTTTGGGCTTCTTAAAAGACCTCATACCAATGGAAAGTATTCTTTGATTATAAACGCATGATCATTTCCTAAATTAGCAGATGTAGAACTTTTATCATCCAACAATCTCAACTATAAATTAAATATTTTTATTTTTAAATGTAAAACATTAACGAAAGAGAAAAGAAGATCAAATTAGTAATTTCAATAATATTCGATTTTTTACTTTTTAATTTATTTTATTTTATAAAAAGAAAAAAGAAAATTATTTTTTTGCGAGGTTTAATTACGTCTCCTTTTCCGCAAGGCGTAAGGCAATAGATAACTCGTTCGAACTGTAGCGCCAAAATCGTCTCCCGAGCAGGTATGAAGCTCTCTGAATCTTTTCCATTGTCTTCCCCTTTTGTTACTCAATCCTGATTCATCTTCGTCCAGTTATCTACTTGTATTCTTCGATTAGGGTTTGGATTTAAGCGTTCATCGATTTTTGAGTTATTGTTTTCTTCTTTCGTTGTTGTTCGTCGCTTTTCTTTGATCTCTCGATCGAAATATCTTTCCGTCAATGTTGCATTGTTTGATTTTGTTTGATTTTGTGGAACTGTGGAGCTTGTCTCTTACTTCTAATGGTTTTATGTAGTGATCACTTTTTGGTTCTGAACTTCGAGGTCCTTCTGAGATGATCAAGTTTTTTTTTTTTCAAATTTTATTATTCTGTTCATGTACTATTAGTTATATTAATTGAAACAGATGATGAGAAGTTATTTGATCATTTGTTGGTTTTCTGCTTCTAGTTGCATGTTGTTTTCCTTGCCTGTTCGTGGCTTAGAGGCGAAGCATTGTTCTGGATATTAGGTGTTTGATGCCTGATTTTAACTTAGAAAAGTAGTAGCTTAAGTGACGTTTACATTTTTTTTTCTCTGGTTTTTATGTTGGAGATTTAGGAAAAAGAATAGCTCAAGCGAATACCAGCTGTCTCTACAATGAAAACTAACAGACCCCTAATTGCAGCTGAGCCAGCTATGAATTTGGGAGATGTTTGTGACGAAATTTGCAGTTTAATCAGGGAAGGGCTTAGAGTAGTTGCTGCTAGACAGACTACTGAAGAACATAATAGCAAGTTCAATCAGTTTTTTGTCTGTTAACCTCCTTGGTTTGGAGAGGATACCGACCCCTTAGTTGCTAAACGCTGGGTTTTGGGGTTAGAGAACATCTTTGATTGCATAGGCTGTTCAGACGAGCAAAAGGTTTCCTTTGCTTGTTTAAGACTGAAAGATTCAGCACTTTCTTGGTGGATAGTGTCAAAAAGATACTTGAATGCTGATGGGGCTGCAGTGACATGGGAGAAGTTTAAGGACTTATTCTATAAGAGATATTTCCCTAGTTCGTTGAAGCATGAGAAGCATCGTGAACTCTGGAAATTGGGACAAGGAAACAGAACCGTGACTGAGTATGATGAAGAATTCATTACCTTGTCTTCTCTTGTTTCTGAACTAAATCCAGACGATTCTTTGGAAGCTAGGCTGTTCTATGAAGGCTTAAGGCCAGATATTAGTCGACAACTTTGCTTCACGGATAACGTGTCGTACTTTGTCGTACTCCGATCTTAGAAACTCGGCATTACTGGTGGAACTGTGCCTTAACCGTAAAGATGTTTGAAGTAGAAAGAAAAGGGTAGCAGCAAACCAGATGGGAGGTTTCAGTTATGGATCATCCTCACCTTTCAATGCCTGCTTATGATTAGTTATAGTTCTCTTAAAGTTTCATTGTTTAGGAAGTTTATAATGGTAATGCTTTGTTCTTCCTCCCAAAAACTGAATTCCACACTCCCTCTCTGGTTTAATGCTTTGTTCTGTTGCTTTTGTTAGGTGGAGTTTATTGGCTTAATGCGTCTCTACAGCTACTTTATGTTCTTTGTTCCATTTCCTCACACTAACGTGTCCATTGGTAGTTTGTTCTTTGTTTCATTTCATTTCAATATAGTTATTAAAACAACATACAAATTATGAATGTAAGTATAAATTTTAGAACACATCAGCATCCCAATCGAACGTGCTTAGCACTCGATCCAAAGCCAAACGCAGTCTACCGGGCCATGAACAAGCTAATTTATTCCAAACACAAGAACAAGCTAATCTGGAAATGTTACATTTCAATCAAAAGGAACACAAAAATACACAACCAAAACGAGGGAAGGGAGGGAGTGAGTGAGCAAAGAAGCCGCGGATTAGGACCTCTTCCTCTTCAAGAACCTCATATTGCTCATCTGAACCTACATATTTAGAACTTACTTAAAAGCAAATATTAGATCCATTCTTTGGGGTTGATGCATGCATCCAGTAATTTCCATTCTTCACTTCCCTCTTCTGGTTTCTGCATATCCAAACAACCAAATTTAGAACACAGTTTTTTCCTCATGTAATTCATGTCATCCAAGAAGATCTTACATGGTCATATTCCCATCTAGCTGTTAGAGGAAGAGAAACCAAAATACTTTCAATCCGACCTCCTGTTTTCAGTCCAAATGTAGTACCTCGATCGTAAACCTGCCGTTCGAGCAAACAAGTTTTAAACTTGGCAGGCAAAATTTAAGTTATAACATGTTCTTCCAACACTTCATTGCCAGAATGCATACCAAGTTGAATTCGACATAGCGGCCCCTGCGCAGTTGTTGCCATGCTTTGTTCTGTTCAGTAAATGGGGTATCCTTTCTTCTCTCTATAATGGGTATGTACGCAGAAACCACAGAATTGGCACACTCTGTAATACAGAATTGCATACATTATCACAGAACTCAAGTGGGAGAAGAGATCAATTCATTTCACATTTTGAAGTGTAATTACCGGTGGCAAATGATAGAAGCATCTCCTGATCGTAGTCATTTAGATCATCAAAAAATATTCCTCCAAGTCCTCGTCTTTCGCCTCGGTGCTGCAATAAAATTATAACTTCAATTCGTTTGATGTTTTGGTTTCTTAAACGAACATCAATCCCATAACTATAGATAGAATGTCCTGGTTTCTTAAAAGAAGTTGCATCGTTCGTTATAATAAACATGAACAAAAGTATAAGAATGATGAAATACCTTGATGTAGAAGTAGTCATCACACCATTTTTTGAATCGAGGATAGAAGGATGGATCAAATTTGTCACAAGCATTTTTTTGTACCTAAATAAGCAGCAGTTGTGGCAAGGATGAACAAATAAGATTTAACAAATAATGAAAATACTCGCAATAAAGTCGATGTGGATGAACACAAATGCCTGTAAGACTGTCAAATACCGACATTCATAAGGATGATTATGATGCACAACTACATAAGAGACATCTCTTAACACTTGAAGGATGAAAGAGAAGTTATTTACCGAATGGAAATGCTTGACATCTTCCTCAAAGATGTAAGAAGGAGTTAAATCAGTCCCACCACCAAACCACCATTGCCTAGGTGCACCAGGAACATCTGCAGATCATGAAAATGAAGAATATATGGAAGGTTACACCCTTTCTCATTGTGAATCGTTCAAGAATCACAAATTAGTGTCCATATTGAAAAACATGCTAGAGTAGAACATGGCATGTTCAGCCCAAGCCCAAGCCTACCCTCAGCAAATATTGTCTCCTTTGGACCATTACGTATCGCCATCAACCTCATGGTTTCGAAACGAGTCTACTAGGGTAAGGTTTTCACACCCTTATAAGGAATGTTTCGTTCCCCTCTCCAACTGATGTGAGACCTCACCAATCCATCCCCTTGGGGCCCAACGTCTTCGCTGGCACACCCGCCTGGTGTCTGGCTCTGATACCATTTGTAATAGCCCAAGCCCACCGCTAGCATATATTGTCTGTTTTGGCCTGTTACGTATCGTCGTCAGCCTCACGAATTTAAAATGTCTACTAAGGAGAGGTTTCCACACCCTTATAAGGAATGTACCATTCCCCTCTCCAACCAATGTGAGACCTCACAATCCACCTTCTTTGGGGCCAACGTCCTTGTTGGCACACCGCCCGATGTCTAACTTTGATACCATTTGTAATAGTCCAAACCCACCACCAGTAGATAATGTCCGCTTTGACACATTACGTATCGTCGTTAGTTTTACGGTTTTAAAACGCGTCTACGTCTACTAGAGAGAGGTTTCCACACCTTTATAAAAAATATTTCATTTCACTCTCCAACCCACATGTAATCTCAATGACATCTTAGGACCCATTATCAATCTCTCTTTACCCAATGAGAAAATAACGTATGGAAAGACATATTTGTACCTTTAGGAGCATCAGTCTCGAAATATCTGTAGTTGAAATGCAAAGTTGGTGCAAATGGGTTCTTAGGATGTAAAACCTGCACATTTTATGCCTTGCTTAAGCAACATTGGTAACAGAACGCAGGGCTTTGAATTGCAACGAAAGCAGATCAATAAATGGAAAGCAAAAGAAACAAAAGAAGAAGAGAAGAAATTACGAACTGAGCTAATGCCGGCGGCAAAGAAAGGAATAGGCCCAGGCTTGTGATCCCCAGCAGCAGCTTTGGCAGCTCTGTAAGCATCAGGGGGCATAACTCCATACACAACCGAGACATTAACGCCAGCCTTCTCCCACACAGCACCATCCTGAAGAACCCTACTGATACCGCCGCCACCACCAGGTCTAGACCAAACATCCTCCTTAAACTTCCCCCCACCATCCGCTTCCTCAATGGCCTTGCAAACACTGTCCTGAGCATCCCTAATCATCTTCTCGAAGCGAGCCCTAATCGACGAGGAGCCGGAAGAGATGCCTCCCGTGGCCTCATCGTATTCCGTAAGGAACGTATCGGGACGGACGGCGATGGGGGTTTCCTTCTCGATTGAAACAGCCATGGTGAAATTCTGTCTGGAGAACAGAGATTTCTTCTTCAAATTAGCGAAATGGGAACCAAATGGCTTGCGGGTAGTAACAGCTAAAAACGCCTTGGAAGAAGAAGAAGAAGAAGAAGGCGAAAACGCGAAGGGAGTAAAAGGGGCGGAGGATGAACAGGAAGGAGAGAAAATGGCGGTGGACGGCATAGCTTTAAGGATTGAAGAGAAGGATGAAGAATTGAAGATCTATATAGAGGGAAGAACAAAGGAAAACGAAGAAGAAGAAGAAAGAATTGCAGTAAAGGAGGATAAGGAACCCCACCAACGAAGATTTCCTTCTCCATCGCCTAATCGTTTACCGTTTTTTTTTTCTTTCTAATTTTACTGAAATTAATAATTCTATTTTATTTTTATTAAAAAAAACATTTTATTTGTCTTTTTAATTTATTTATTTATTTTGGATAATTAATATCATTTATTCAGAAACCTGATTTCGCCCAATTTTGTAAACAAAGCATAAACATCCAATTTGGCTAATAAAATTATATTTAATACGTTATGAGGTGGGTGGCCGGAAAATACAAGGGACGATTTACCGTGGGCGAGCGCGCGTGGATTACCATCGCGTCAACACACCGTAACGTACCCAGTTACATGGTCACAACTTCCGTCAGAAACAGCGAACCGGACGAGGTTTAGCAATAAACCGGTGGAAATTAAAGAAAGAAAGAGTTGGGGAATTTAATAATTATTCAAAAAAACCCAAAAAGTAGAGGAAAAAAATTCGAGAAAAAGGTCATAGGTACTTTAGGCTCGGGAATCGAAGCTAGTCCTGAGCCTAAGCCTCGTCAGGCTTCAGGCTTGTTCCGAAGCTAGGCAGGCTCGGGAACCCAGATCCAACATCGGACCCACGGCCCAACATCAATGCGCGCATCTAGTATTCGGCCCACAGCCCTTGACCCCGCCCATTCCTTCAGTGCCAGCCCGCGCTAGTAGTCTCGACCCAGCCCAGTCTCCCCATGACCCGACCCTGCGCCGCCATCTTTGTGTACGGCTCGCCGTCGACTCGGCTAGCTCGACTTGCTTCCTTGTAATGGAAGAACAGAGATTTGAATTTTTTATATTTTAATTAATTAATAATAAAACCTTAATTAGTTCATATATATATATATATAAAGTTTTAAAATAAAAAATCTATTATTATCATATATATATATATATATATATATATATAAATAATCTATACTTCATCCATTCAGAGCATAGATTATTACAGAATTTAGATCAGAAAAAAACCCTCGATCTATGTATTCTATGAATCATCAACCTCCGATTTCCAGCTGAAATTCATCGACCATGGCGCTACATTCATCCGAAAGCCTCGCCGGCGGAGAATCAGTAATCAGAGTTCAAAACTTAGTCGAAGCACAGCCGTCTCAGGTCCCGCCCCAATACATCCAGCCGCCGCATCACCGTCCTTCCGCCACTAGCACTTCCACTGACCTCAGGATTCCGGTGATCGACCTTTTCGGATTCGATCCGGACCATAGAGACGCCGTTCGAGGCGCCGTTGGGCGAGCATCCAGCGAATGGGGAGCTTTTCATGTCATCAATCATGGAATTCCTTCATCATTGTTGAGCCAGATGAGGACTGCGGCTCTCTCTTTCTTTAGAGACTGTCCCGTCTCTGATAAGCTCGCATACGCTTGCGATCCTAAATCCTTTGCTTCCGAGGGTTATGGCACACAAATGCTCGTCGATAAAGAAGTCGAATCGCAGGCTTCGGCGCTTGACTGGAGAGATTATTTCGATCACCATACGCTGCCGCTTTCACGCCGCAATCTTTCTAATTGGCCTCACTTTCCTTCCGGTTACAGGGAGCTTATGGCTCAGTACAGCGATTGTATGAAATTGCTTGCTCAGCGGCTCCTAGCCGTTATCTCTGAAAGTATTGGGCTGCCTTCGTCGTGGATGGAGGATGCCATCACTGGGATGGGTGGGGAAGAAAATTTTTATCAGAATATTACTGTCAGTTATTACCCTCCATGTCCTCAGCCTGGCTTGACGCTTGGTCTGCAAACCCATTCCGACATTGGCGCCATCACTCTACTAATACAAGATGATGTTGAGGGCCTTCAGGTTCTCAGCGGGCAAGGAGATTGGGTCACTGTTCAGTCTCTGTCTCCTAATGCCATTATCGTCATTTTGGCCGACCAAACTGAGGTTAGATTATGCCTCCGTTTCAATTTTTTGTCTTATCTTTGATGAACCAGCATTTGCAAAATCCATCATCTGCTTTGATGTTATTCGTTCCTCTGAATTATCCATGCCCGGTGAATGGCAATTAGCAGGCAAGCTTATGTTCTGTTTCCTTTAGTCCAGCTACTGAATTATAACGAAGTAAGAGACTAAATAAGTATGGAGGAGGAGCTATATGTAAATTATCCAAGTGACTATTGGGGAATGGATATAGAATTTCAAGTAGTTTTTCTTTCTAAATTTTTTTGAATCAAAATAACCGTGGGAATCATCATGACATCTCACCCTCTCAAGGAAATAGTAGAATGAGAACGATTCAGGACTGATGAATTTACTTGGGTGCCAATCAGTTGTTTAATGAAAAACATGGTATTAGCCACAGAACAATGGTCCAGGCTCATGTATTTTGTGAATTGAATTGGGTTCTTGCCCTTCCATACTGCACTCTTTACCCTAGCTAGTATCTTCAGTCTACTGATTGTTTATCTGCAAGTTAGTAGAACGTCATCCTCAGAACTCAAGAAATCCCTTGACTCTTGAGTTTTACTTTTAGCTTCCCTTGGAATGGTCAAAATTCACGTGTTATATAGACTTTACGTTTTACCAGCGGCTTCTATATGATGTCAACTCCAGTATTGACTAGCCCATCTCTCTCTCTCTTCAAGCTTTGGAACAAGATCAAAGTTTGAGGGGCCATAATAGACCATCCATACATGAGGAAGAAGAATAGCTTATAGCTCTACACAAGATGATGGTGGGGTAATCGTCTAATGAACTCTTTGCACTTGAGTCTACGGTGGAGGTCAGTTCAGTAATTAGGTGTAGGATTGTCTTTTTTGTTTTAAATTCTATTTTTTCTCATCACACCCAAGCACTGCTATTTTATTAAGTGAAGAGAAGGTGGTGGGGGAGTTTGCAGAATTTTGGAAATATTCTGCTTGGGAAAAACTTGGATGTCTCAAATTCTCTAGGGAGTTAATTTCCTAGAGGTTGTAGTCTGATCCTAGCATGTTAGAAGTCGTAAGGTACTAATTCTTTTTTCTGATATCATCTTCCTGTATTTGAGTACTCATTAAGCAGACGTCAATATGGTGCTGATTGCTCAGGAGCCCATGTTTGGTTTTATGGATGAGAAGCCTTACACATCTTGGCAGTGCTTTTCCTCACCATATCTAGTAGAGTGAATCTCCCCGGTGATATTGGCCACGCGTAGGATACTAGGGATGTATCCTTTGCTGTTGCTACTCCTAGGTTTAAACCCTTTCAGCTTGGTGATGCCTTTGACTGGAAGAAGAGGTCGGTTGGGGCTCTCTTTTGACAGGAAGTTCCATGCTCCTTTCAAGATTGGTGCTTGATCAGAGTACTTATGCTCATGGGTGGGGTAGATTAGAGAACAGCTGCATAAGATATTTGGTACTGCTTGGTTAGTGGCCCTTGAATCTTATCACGGGGTCCTTCTAGTTCTCTTCACTGACTTCCACTAATGATGCGTCTTTCTCTATAGTGTGAAAATTGTGCATTGTACTCTCTGATCATCTTGCAATTGCATGTACTAACTAATTCGAAATGTGTGAACTGGATTATTTGACTGCTCATGAAGAGTGTGTGGGTTGCTGTGGTGGGTAGTACACGTTTCTTTTTTAGATTCCAGGTTTGAACGTGAATAGGAAACCCACTTGCTTGCATGTCTTGTGAAATTAGAGTTTATGTTTTTGGCTTCTATCTGTAGCTACTGGCTGAGAATATGGCAATGGGGTTGCACACCCCACCTGATTAAGGATTTGGCATGTACCACTTTTGCTGTAATGGCTTGGGAATTAAATATCATTGTGGGTGGCTGTCGTTTTGAGATTAGAGTGCTCCCACTAGGCTTAATGAGGATTTGTCTTCTATGGAGCCATTGTTTGTTAAGAATTAGGCCAATGGGGAACATCCTGTTCCAATTTTAGCTAAGCATTTTGCTGTGTAGCATGACTCTTGCATATCTCAAGATGGAGCAAGACAACCAAGTTGCTGGCCTCGATAATCAATTTACATTGTCATTGTATAAACGGTACAGTGAGACTATCCTGTATTATCAAAATTATGACCTGTAAAAGTTTCCTCTATATGTGAGTTTCAGCTGGGAGTCTAGTGGAGCTTGAACAACCCAACCGATAACATAGAAATTTCCTCAATCTCTCCAGATGTCCTCTCTGAGCTTCGCTGATTTATATGTTTCTCTGCATCGGTTTTTGAGGTTGTGTACAAATGATGAAGGATTAAGGACCCGGACACCAATTTGAGACTTAGGATCCTACTTTTTGTTTGTTCTTAACATATCTAAAGTTGAGCGCCTGCCTTTTGTTTGTTTGTCATGAAGGAAGTTGGTACCCACCTCAATTAGTCATCAATCCATGTTGAAACTTGCTTATGACGGTTTTTCCTGTCTACTCAATAGTTGGCCTAGATGTTCTTAAATCTCCCATGCTCCCAGCCTCATAATTAAAGTAGAACTTTGTCAAGAAAGGCATTGCTTGCAAACATTTGTATGGCTTGATATGATCATACAGGCATGTCTATAGCTTCTATCTATCAACACCAGCATTTTGTTTTTACAGTTACTAATATGTTTGACATTTTTGCTTCACTGATAATGTGTCTGGCCACCCTGTTTATGTGTGAGGAGTTTCTCTTTTCTTCTATAACTTATTCAATATTTGGTTCTATTATCAAGATAATTAGGAACTTCAATCGCATACGATTGCATGCAGATTTTAACTAATGGAAAGTGCAAGAGTGCGGAGCATAGAGTGACTACAAACTCTAGCAGGGCAAGACTCTCGATCTCTGCTTTTCATGATCCACCGAAGTCAGTAAAAATATCTCCGGCTGCAGAGCTTGTCAGTGAGTCTTCCCCCCTTAGATACCGCGAAGTTATTTTTGGAGATTATACATCATCATGGTACTCAAACGGCCCTCAAGGAAGAAGAAATCTGGATGCAATCAAGCTTCACAACTAGGTATTGTAATTCCTGTCCTCTTGTTGTTTCCTTTCCTGATGGTTTCACTTTTCTTCTG